CCCTTCCTTCCGCCGCGCCCTCAAGACATGGCTATTTAAGCTAGCAGGACTGGCCTAAGGGGTAATTTTTAGTTGGGTTTTAAAATAATTTTTAAAATAACAAAGGCCAAATTAATATTTCCTTTTAATTATGTTTTTAATGGTAGTATTTTTGTATTTTTGTATTTGTTTTTATTAGGCTGTTAGCCGCCCTGAGTCCTCAAGGAGAAGGGCGGGGTAAAAATATAATTAAATAAATAAAATAAAATAAATAATTGGTGACATCTAAATACTAAAAGTCAGATTATGTATTTCTATCCCAAACCCCTGCAGCATCTATTTTGCAAAAACAAGTTGTTAATATTCAAGAAATATACACATAAGCAAAATTACTCATATCACACCCTAACAAAAATATCTGTATACCCAAACAAAACACAAAATACTGAATTATAGGCCTTCACCTTTCCTTCTGTTTAAAAATGGCTCTCAGAAATGCAGATGATTCTGAGGGTTGTCATTTTTGTTTGCGGTCATGGATGAAGCAAAGCAGTTATAAACTATTATCCTCCTGCATTAAAATCAGCTGAAATTGAAACAGGTGTAACAAAGAAGAGACCAAATCATTCTCAGTTTGGACAATAATAATGGCTGGTTATTCTGTCCAAATGGCTTTTACCAAGGTCCCCACTGGTAGTTTTCACTCCCAGGTTGGAACAGCAAGAATCAATCAGTTTAGTTTCCATGGTTGGGATTCTGAGGTTTTCAATGACTGACATTTTGTATGCTACCCACCCACCCATTTAACTACTAAGTTTCTTCATGCGTGTTAACATCCATCTGACACACCTATTAAGAGACAGTAAGAGATGGGGGGGAGGGAAGAGAACAGAATTTTACTGTTCTGAAGGGAATTGCAGAATTTTTGTCATCAGTCCATGGGAGGGTGGGGAATTCAGTGGTTCACTTGCTTAAACCATTGAAATCCTTGTTGCATGTGTTAAAAGGATCTAGTCATTGAAATGGTTATGATTAGAGATACATAAAAATACATAAGACTTGAATCTATCCACAAAAAACACATTATCGGTCAGGCCTTACATGGGCACCATTTCATATTTCTGTTATACAATTTAAATGCTTCATATTTAATTACACCTATATTGGAATTCATTATCTCTACAAGATCAGATTGCCTTTATTCGGTTCTATAACAAACTGTCCCTTTAACTTAATTTCGCACACAATATTTCTTCTGCATAGATCAGCTAGAAAGGAAGCTGTGTGACCAACTTGGCGAGTATGAACCACTGACCATTTCTCAAGGGCTGAAATGCATGATACTGTCCTCAACTGTCCCAAGGGCATTAGTCCACTCATCTTTTTTTTTAACCACACATTGAAAGTGGTGGGTTTTTAACATGCCACCTCAAGCATGTTGCTGCCCATTATTTCACTGTAGACAGATATTTTCTGTCCAACTGATTACTCTGCACATTAGCAGAAACATTCTATCCCTTCCCAGCTTTAGCATTACTTCCACAGGTTACCATGTGGAAGGATCTGAATCAGCCTTTTCTTTTTATGAAAATAAAGTGGTAAAAATAATGTCTTATGTCAGTGAAATAAAGGATCAATCTTTTAAACTATAATTGCCAATTAGCTAAACATTGGTTTCTTTAGTTACAGAGCTTATAAGCCACTCCTACTAACTGACCTTAAAACTTCCCATTTTTGTAATCTGAATTAAGAACAAATATTTTTAAAGCTAAAACAGAATAATTTGTTGAAATTCAGAAAGGGATTTCTTAACCCGGCTTCATTTTTAGCATGTTGGGTGTGGAAGTCCAAAAGTTTAAGGCTGATGTGCAAAAAAAAAGTTTTTAGTTGTATCCATGCCATTTGATTTTGGTACATTATAGTCAATCTGCCACAATATTAATTCCAAATTTTTAAGTCTGAATGACATCTGAAATCATGATATTTCATATTTTTAATTAAAAATATTGATAGGGCATTTCAATAAACCAGTAAATTGCAGTTTTCTATACAATAAAGTAATTTAGAAACATTTTTGTGCATTTAAAAAAATAAGCATCCTCATTCCATATTTTACCGTTAACCTCATTCAAGCACAATCAATAAAGGAGATAAGATGTTTCTATTGAAGTTCTTAAAGCACAATACTTGAGGATTCCAGTGATGACATGATTGATGACATCACAAAACTTTCTTTGTTGTTGACTCTAACACTAAGTTTTACTTCATTAAGTAGTAATGGTAGTATAGAAGTAGGACCATGGCAGAGAGGAATGAAGGCCATTTTTCATAAGACCATTCATTAGAATAAGGATTAAATCCTCTCTTAGATTAATTTTTTAAAATTCTTCCTTCCCCTTAAGATCCAGCTAAATCAACATTTTTCTTCATCATGGGATCAAGTAATCTTCCAAGGTTCAGGTCTGATCTCAGTTTTACAAATTCTGAAGATCGTCTTTTCCTCCGGGAATCATTAGAAACTGTAGTCAGCTCCTTTTCACTTACTCCAAATGGCATCTGTATAGAAGAGGCAGACAGTGAGCTTCAGGAAGATGCATGGAATGAGAACAATTTGGAGAATTGTAATGGGGAAAATATGGAACAATTACAGAATAATAGCAAAGAAATAGAATACGAAAACCTTTATATATCGGATGAGGTAAGGAATCAAATCAATGGAAACAATAAAAAGGCTTTGAAAGCCCTAGCTAAAGCTGAACTTCAAAAAGCCATTGATCTGTTCTCTGAAGCTATTGAGTTGAACCCAAGCATTTCCAGTTCTTACATCAACCGTGCCAATGTCTATATGCAATTGCAAAAACCAAATGCTGCTATTAAAGACTGCAACATGGCCATTGAACTGAATCCCAAATCAGCAGAACCATTAAAATTGAGAGGAAAAGCATTCAAGGAATTAGGCTGTTTAAAAAAAGCAGCCTGTGATTTTGCTTTAGCTTCTAAGTTAGAATATGACAAAGAGGCCAATTCAGTACTAAAGCAATTAAAATCAGGATTTCAAAGAATTTCTGAAAGGCAAGCAAAGTGCATCCTTACATATAAGGAATCTGAGATACTGGAGAAGATTAAGAAAGCACAGGTAATTTTAGAGGATCAAAAACAAGACCAGAGAGAGAAAAGTATTAGCATTGAACTGGAGAACAAAGTAGTAAGGAACAAAGAAGAGAAAATGAAGCTAGACCATAATAAAGATTCCCAAGAAATAACAGATGAAAATATGGAGACAGATGAGAAGTGGAAGCAGGCCAGTGAAAACAAAAAAGCAGCTTTGGATGCCTTGGAGAAAGGTGAATATCAAAAAGCAGCTGAATTATTCACCAAAGCTATCAAACTAAACCCCCATCTTACTAATTTGTATGTTTGCCGAGCCAGTACTTTTCTGAAACTTCATATGCCAATTGCTGCCATAAAGGACTGTAACAATGCCATAAAATTAAATCCTAATATGGCCTTATCATACAAGTGCCGTGGAGAGGCATTTTGTATGTTAGGTTATTGGCAGGAGGCTACTAAAGATTTCTCTGTGTCCTGTCAACTGGATTATGATGAAGATACTTATGCCAAGATGAAAGAACTACAAAGAGAAGATGACAAAATAATTAAATGGTGGGAAAAGCCAGAGGAAAGAAGTAACCAGGGAGAGAAGATGAGCAAAATGAAAGAAGCTCCTGGGAAAATACAAGTAAATAGTCCTCAAGATAAATCAGTTATTCATGAGTCTTGCATACAAGAACAGGACACAGGAACATTTCACATTTCTGAAGAAAAGACAATTCTGCATAATTCCCAAAACTATAAAATATTTCCTCTTTATTGTTCAGAAGATCAAAATGAAACTTATCCCATGTCTGCAGTACAAGAACAAGATCAGTTTATGGATTATGAAAAACAAGAACATACTGAACTGCATGAAAGAAGGGCTCAGAAAGGACCTATGAGGAAACAAAAATATGAAACTGAGTCAGAAAGTGAAGACAGTGAATTGGAAATTGATACTGAAGAGGTTATTGAGTCAGATGAAGATCTTCCTCAGGAGATGGGAAATGAAAACTTGAAAGTAACTGATGAAATGCAAAAACTAGCTAATGAAAAGAAAAGAGAAGCTTTTGATGCCGTCAATAAAGGAGAACTTTTTAAAGCTTTAGATTTGTTCACAGAAGCTATTAAGCTTAATCCACATCTTACTATCTTATATGCAAACCGAGCCAGGGTCTATTTGAAGCTACAAAAGCCAACTGCTGCAATTAGGGACTGTGATAAAGCCATACAAATAAATCCTGACTCAGCCCAGCCCTACAAGTGGCGAGGAAAAGCACTGCAAATACTTGGTTACTGGCAAAAGGCAGCTAAAGACCTTGCCTTAGCATGCCAGTTAGATTACGATGAAGAATCCTATGCTTTGCTAAAAGAAGTACAACTAAAGGCCCAGAAAATTGCAAGACTCAGGAGGAAGCAGGAACAGAAAGTTGACGAAAAGAAGGATAAGGCTCTTTTGAGTGAACTTCAAGAAACTTGTAAGAAGCATGAAAGATCTCAAATGACATCTGAAGAACTAGGAAGAAATGACAAGGAAACTGTAGAGGAATGGAGAGAAAATTGGGGGGAAAACACCAAAGAACAACCAAAAGTAAGTCAAATAGTTCTGACAAAACAGAGGTGTATGGCCCAAGGCAACATAGGTAGATGTTTTCAGGAAAGCAAAAGGAAACAAGGTAACTATTTTGAGAAGGAGAAAGAGGAGGAAGAAGAAGAAATAGAAGAAGAGGAACAAGAAGAAGAACAACAACAACAAGAAGAAGAAGAACAAGAAGAAGAACAAGAAGAAGAAAAATTCCAAGATAATTTACTGAAAGAACAAGTGAACCTTAAGCAGAAGGATATGAAACACCAAGGAGTCCATCAAAATGAGTTAGAGGAACAATTAAGAGCTCTTCAGCAAGAATTGGATGAAAAGCTCAGAAGTTATCGAGAAGAAACTGATGAAGAAGAAAACACTTTACAGAGATTATTAGATGAGCAGGAAAAATCACAGCAAAAGGCACTCTGTGAACAAGAACAAACTTTTAAAATAATCCTGGAAGAACAAGAAAAAATACAGAAGGCAGCTCTGAGGGAACTGGCCAGAGCTCAACAAGAGGCTTTAGAGGAGCTTGAAAAGGCTACAAAGAAAGCCCTGGAAGAACAAGAGAGAGTTCAGCAGCAGGCTCTTGAAGAACAGGAAAGAGCACAGGAGGCCCTGGACACTCTGGAAAGAGCACATAAAAAGTCTCTGGAGGAACAAAAAAAAGTCCTTATAGCTGCAATAGAAGAACAGGAGCATGCTCAGAGAAAGTCACAGGAAGAAAAAAGAATGGCTGAGGAAGCTTTAGAAAACCTGACAGAAGCTCAAAGAAAGATCCAAAAACAGCAGGAAAGAGCTGAGAGGCAAGCTAAAGAAGAAAGAGAGAAAGCACAAAAAGCTTTAGAAGAATTAGAGATTGCTCAGAAAAAGGCTTTGGAAGATCAGGAAAAAGCTCAACAAACTCTGGAAGCTGTAGAAAGAGCCCACAGACAGGCTTTAGAGGAACAAAGAAAGATTCAGATGGCTGCTATAGAAGAACAACAGCAAGCAAGAGAAAGTTATCTAGAAGAAAAAAAAATGGCTGAAGCCACCATGAAACAACTTTTAAGGATGCAAAAAGAATTTCAAGAGGAACAAGAACGTTCAGAAAAGAAAGCAGTAAAAGAGAGAGAGAGAGCTCAGAAAGCTGTAGAACTGGAAATTGCTAAAAAGGTGGCCTTAGAAGAACAAGCAAGAGCTCAAAAAGCTCTAGAAGCTTTAGAAAAATCTCATATGTGGGCATTAGGCCAACAGAAGAGAGCACAGGAAAATACTCTAAAAGAAAAGATGATGGAAGAAGTAGCTCAGGAACACTTTTCAGCAGTTCAGAAAAAAGTCCAAGAGCAGAGAAAGAATCAGAAGGTGGCAAAAGAAGAAAGAGAAAGAACATATAAATTCCTAGAAGAATTAGCTCTGAAAAACTTAGAAATTGGTCATAAAGAGGCCCTGGAGGAAAAAAAGAAACTATCTGAAGAAGAAAAGGAGTTGGTGGAAGAAGCTCTGGGAAACATTTCTGTAGCTCAGATAAAGGAACAGGAAAAGCAGAAAACATCTGAAAAAAATGTAATGGAAGAAAGTCAGAGTGCACAAAACACTTTAGAAGAATCTGAGATTCTTCAGAGGAAAACTATAAAGGAACAGGAAAGACAGAACACATGGAAGGCTCTCAAAGAATTAGAGATTGCTCAAAATAAATTTCTGGAAGAACAAGTCAGAGCTCAGAATGCTGTGGTAGTAGTGGTAGAAATATCAAAAATGGCAGTGTCAGAACAAAAGATAGCATCAATGGAAGTACAAGAACAAACAAGGGGGCAAAATCCAGAAAATAAGTTTGAAGCTGATCCGGAAGAAATTTCCATGGCTCACCGAAAAATCCAAAAAGAACAGAGAAACAGCATTGAAGAAAGAGTGCATATATCAAAGGCCCTTGAAAAAGTTGAGAATGTGCAAAACAGCTTCAGGGAGGAACAAGAAATTATAGAAAATGCTCACACAAAGATCCTGAAAGAGCAAAAAGGTATTCAGGCAGCATTGATGGAAGGACAGGAACAAATAAGGGGAAAAAATCAGGAAGGAAAGAAGATAGCTGAAGTAGCCCTGGAAGAGCTTTTCAGGACTCAAAAAGACATCCAAGAAGAGCGAGAAGATGCTGAAAAAAAAGACATGAAAGAAAGAGAGAGCATACAAAAGGCCCTCAATGAATTGGAGATTGCTAAAAAAAAATGTCTTGAGAAAGAGGAAAGAGCTCAGAATGCTGTGGAAATTTTAGAGAGGGCTCATATAAAAGCACTGAAGGAACAGAAGGAAGTTCAGAGAGCAGTGAAGGAAAAACAGGAACAAATTAGGAACAAAATTCAGGAAGAAAAGAAGATGGCTGAAGTAGCCCTGGAAGAGCTTTTCAGGAATCAGAAAAAGACCCAAGAAGAGCAGGTGAGTGCTCAGATAAAAGTGATGGAAGAAAAGGAAACTATACAAAAAACCCTAAAAGAGGTAGAAGTGATGCAAAATGAAGTCCTAGAAAAAGAGAAAAGAGCTCAGAATGCATTGGAAGCTGTAGAAGAAATGCGTAAACAGGCTTTAGAGGAGCTGAACAAAGCTAAGAGGATTGCAGTAGAAGAACAGGAACAAGAGTGGAAAAGAATTCAAGAAGAAAAGAAAATGGTTTTCTTGGCCCAGGAAGAGCTTGTCAGGACTCAGAAGGCAATACAAGAAGAGAGACAGAGGGCTGAAAACAAAGCAGCAGAAGAAAGACAGTTAGCTCACAAAAACCTTAGAGACTTAGAAATTGCTCATAAGAAAGCACTGGAAGAACAGGAAAGAGCTCAGAAAGCTTTGGAAGATGTAGAAAAAGCTCATAAGAAAGTGTTGGAAGAGCAAAAGAAAGTTCAAATGGTTGTAATACAAGAACAGGAAAAAATCGGGAAAAAATCTGAAGAAGAAAAGAAGATGGCTGAGGAAGCCTTACAAAAATTGTCAAAGATTCAAAGACAGATTCAAGAACAGCAGGAAGAGAAAGCCTCTGAAAGAAATGTTCAGGAAGCCTTAAAAAAAAATGAGCTTGCTCAAAAAATGGCTATGGAGGAACAGGAAAGAGCAGCAAAAGCTCTGGAAGCTGTGGAAAAAGCTCATAAACAGGCACTGGAGGAACAGAAGAAAGCTCAGATGGCTGCCATAGAAGAACAAGAAAAACTGAGGAAAAGGTCTGAAGAAGAAAAGAAGATGGCTGAAGCTGCCCTAGAAGAAGTTTTCAAAACTCAAAGAAAACTCCAAGAAGAACAGCAAAAAGCTGAAAAAATAGCAATGGAAGAGAGAGAGAAAGCTCAGAAGACCCTAGAAGAATTGCAAACTATTAAAAAAAAAGCCTTTGAGGAACAGAAACAAGCTCAGAAGGCTTTGAAAGAGGTAGAAATAGCTCATCAACAGGCTATGGAAGAGCAGAAGAAGGCTCATCTGGAAGCCATGAAGGAACAGGAGCAAGGATGGGAAAAAATGCAAGAAGAAAAGAAGAGGATGGAGGCAACTCTGGAAGAGCTTATAAGGACACAGCAACAGTTCCAAAAAGAGCAGGAAATGGCTGAAGAGAAAGCAGTACAAGAAAAACAGATAGCTCAAAAGACCCTCAGAGAATTAGAGATTGCTCAAAAACAAGCTCTTGAAGAACAAATAAGAGCTCAGAAAGCTTTGGAAAATATAGAAAAAGCTCATAAACAGGCACTAGAACAGCAGAAGAAAGCTCATATGGCTGCCATTGAAGAATATGAACAGGCCCGAAAAAAAGCTACAGAAGAAAAGAAGAGGGCTGTGACAGCTTTAGAAAAACTTGCACAAGCTGAGATGAAAATGCAAGAGGACCATAAGCAGGCCGAGAAGAATGCAAATGAAGAAAGAGATAAAGCTCAGAAGGCCCTAGAAGAATTACAAATTCTTCAAAAGAAAGCTCTTGAGAAAAAGAACCAAAGTCAGCAGTCTCTGGAAGCAGTAGAAATAGCTCATCAACAGGCTATGGAGGAGCAGAAGAAGGCTCATCTGGAAGCCATGGAGGAATTGGAGAAAGAATGGGAAAAAATGCAAGAAGAAAAGAAAAAGATGGAGGCAGCTCTGGAAGACTTTTTAAGGACACAGCAACAGTTCCAAAAGGAACAGGAAATGGCTGAAGAAAAAACAATACAAGAAAAACAGATAGCTCAGAAGACTCTCAGAGAAGTAGAGATTGCTCAAAAACAGGCTCTTGAAGAACAAACAAGAGCTCAGAAAGCTTTGGAAGATGTAGAAAAAGCTCATAAACAGGCTCTGGAAGAGCAGAAGAAAGCTCAGATGGCTACCATTGAAGAATGTGAACAGGCACAGAAAAAAGCTGAAGAAGAAAAGAAAAAAGCTGGAGCAGCTTTAGAAAAACTTGCACATGCTGAGATGAAAATGCAAGAGAAGCAAAAGCAGGCTGAGAAGAATGCAATAGAAGAAAGAGAGAAAGCTCAGAAGGGCCTAGAAGAACTAGAGATTGCTCAGAAGAAGGCCAGGGAGGAGCAGATAAGAGCTCAAAATGCCCTGGATGCAGTAGAAAGAACTCATAAACAGGCTTTAGAGGAACAGAAAAAAGCTCAGATGACTGCATTTCAAGAACAGGAACAAGCATTTAAAATATCTCAAGAAGAAAAGAAGAGAGCTGAGGCAGCCCTGGAAAAACTATCACAATATCAGAAAAAAGTCCAAGAAGAGCAGGAAATGGCTGAGAAGAAAGCCCGAGAAGAAAAAGAGAGAGCACAAAAGGCTCTTGAAAAATTAGACATTGCTCAGAAGAAAGTCTTAGAGGAACAGAAGAAAGCTCAGGTGTCTGCCATTGAAGAACTTGAGCAAGCACAGAAAAAATCTGAAGAGGAAAAGAAGATGGCTGAGGTAGCGTTGGAAAAACTGTCAAACTTTCACAGAAAAATGCAAGCAGAACAGAAAAGAGCTGAGGAAAAAACCATGGAAGAAAGACAAAGAATTCAAAAGGCCCTAGAAGAATTGCAGATTGAACAGAAGAAAGCCATAGAGGAACAGACAAAAGCTCAGAAAGCTCTGGAAGCTCTTGAAAAAGTTCAAAAAGAGGGCCTGGAAGATCAGATGAAAGCTAAAATGGCTGCCATTGATGAGCAGGAGCAAGCATGGAAGAAATCCCAAGAAGAAAAAAGGATGGCTGAAGCTGCTTTGGAAAATGTTTTAAGAGCTCAGAAAAAACTTCAAGAAGAGCAGGAAAATGCCGGGAAAAAAATTATGGAAGAAAAAGAGAGTATACAGAATGGCCTCAAAGAATTAGCAGTTGCTCAAAAGAAAGCACTGGAGGAACAAGAAAAAGCTCAGAGTGCTCTAGCAACTATAGAAAGATCTCATAAAATGGCCCTGGAAGATCAAAGAAGAACTCAGATAGCAACAATGGAAGAACAAGAACAAACAAGAAAAAAAATTCAAGAAGAAAAAAAGATAGCTGAAGCAACCTTGGATGAACTTTTAAAAACTCAGAGGAGGTTCCAAGAAGAGAAGAAAATGGCTGAGAAAAAAAATATGGAAGAAAGAAAAATAATTCAGGTTGCCCTTGCAGAGTTAAAAATAGCTCAAAAAAAGGCTCAGGAGGAACAGGAAAGGGCTCAGAAAGCGTTGGAGGTTGCAGAAACAGCCCATAAATGTGCCCTGCATGAACAGAAGACTGCTCAGTTAGCTATTCAAGAACAAGAGCAAGCATGGAAAAAATCACAAGAAGAAAAGGAAATAGCTGAGGCAAAACTACAAGAACTCTTAAGGGCCCAGAAAACTTTCCAAGAGGAACAGGAGAAAGCAGAAAAGAAAGAAAGAGAAGAAAGAGAAAACTTTCAAAGAAACATTAAAAAATTAGAAGAAGTCCAGAAGAGAGCTCAGGAGGAACAGGAGAAGGCCCAGACATCTCAGCATGCTCTAGAAATTGCCCATAAACAGGTACTAGAGGAACAGAAGAAGGCTCGTTTGGCTGCCATTATGGAACAGGAACAAGCACAGAAAAAATCTCAGGAAGAAAAGAAAATGGCTGAAGCAGCCCTAGAAAATCTCTTGAAACAAGTACAAAAAGAGCAAGAAACAGCTGAGAGAAAGGCATTAGAAGAAAGAGAGAAAGCTAAGACAATGCTAAAAGAATTAGACATTATTCAGAAGAAGGCCTTAGAGAATATATTGGCAGCTAAAAAGGAGAGTCTGGAAGATCAGAAAAGAGCTCAAAACGCATTGGACAGTCTGGAAAAAACTCATAAGCAGGCATTAGAAGAACAGAAAAATGCTCAAAGGAAATCTCAGGATGAAAGAAAGATGGTTGAGGCTGCTTTGGAAGAATTATCAAAAGCTCAGAAAAAAATCAAGGAAGAGCAGCATTCAGCAGAGCAGAAAGCAATTAAAGAGAGAGAGATAGTACAGAAAGAGTTAGAAGAATTAGAGAATGCCCAGAAGAAGGCCCTGAAGGAGCAGGAGAAAACTCAAAAAACTCGGGATGTTCTTGAAAGAGCTCATAAGCAGGCACTGGAAGAACAGAAGAAAGCACTGAAGAAAATTCAAGAGGAAAAAAGGATGGCTGAAGCTGCTCTGCAAGAACTTTTAAGAACCCAGAAAACATTCCACAAAGAACAGGAAAAAGTTAAGGAGAAAACAATGAAAGAAAATGAGAGGACTCAGAAGACTATAGAAGAATTAGAAGTGGCTCAGAAAAAAACTCAGGAAGAAGAGGAAAAAGCTCAGAAGGCTTTGGAAAGGGCTCATAAAGAAATCCTAGAGGAGCAGAAGAAAGTTCAGGTAGCTGCTATGGAAGAACTGGAACAAGCACGAAAGAAGTGTCAAGAAGAAAAGAAGATGTGTGAGGTAGCATTGGAAGAACTCTTAGAGACTAAGAAAAAATTCCAAGAAGAGCAGGAAATATCTAAGATGCAAGTAATGAAAGAATTAGAGAGTGCACAGAAAGAGCTAGAAAAAATAAAAATAGCTCAAAAAGAGGCCTTGGAAAAAGAAGAGAACGCTCGGAAGGCTCTGGATAATATAGAAAGAGCTCATACTCAGGCCATAGAGGAACAAATGAAAGTGCAGCAAAAGTGTCAAGCTGAAAAAAAAATGGCTGAGGCAGCCCTAGAAGAACTCTCAAGAAGTCAAAAACAATTTCAAGAAGAACAGGAAAAAGCTGAGCAAAAAGCAAACAAAGAAAAAGAAATAATTCATATAAAACTAAAAGAACTGGAGATTGCTCAGAGAGTGGCTTTGGAGAAAGAGGAAAATGCTCAGAAAGTTTTGGATGCTCTGGAAAAAGCTCATAAGCAGACCCTGGAGGAGCAAAAAAAAGCCCAGATGGAACTGGAACAAATACAAAAAAAATATGAGGAAGAAAAGAAAATGGCAGAAGCTGCTCTGAAAAAACTGTCACGGGCAGAGAGAAGCATCCAAAATGAGCAGGGAAGGACCATGGGAGAAACAGTGGGAGAAACAGGGAAGATACAGAAGGCCTTAGAAGAACTAGAAATTGCACGGAAGAAAGCCCTGGAAGAAAAGGAGAATGCTCAGATAGCTCTGGAGGCTCTGGAAAGAACTCATAAACAAATACTGGAGAAAGAAGAAAAAGCACAAAAAAAATCTCAAGAAGAAAAGCAGTTGACTGAGGCTGCTCTGGGAGAACTTATAAGAACTCAGAGAAAGTTTCAAGAAGAACAAGAAAGGGCTGAAAAAAAAGCCAAGGAAGAAAGGGGAAAAGTGCAGAAGTCTCTAGAAGAATTAGACATTGCTCAAAAGAAAGCTCTAGAGGACTTGGCAATAGCTCAAAAGATGGCCATGGAGGAAAATGAAAGAGCACAGCAGAGGGTATTAGAAGAAAAAAGGGCAATACAACTGGCTATGAAAAAGCTGGAGACAGCACATGCTAAAGCCATAGAGGAACAACAGATAGCACAGAGATTGGCCTTTGAAGAACAGCAGAGAACTAAGGAGATATTTGCTGAACTAGAAAAATCACGAAGAAAAGCCCTGGAAGACCAAGAAGAAGCAAAAAGGAACGCCATAGATGAACAAGTAAGAGCTCATCATGCTATAAATGAATTGGCCAAGATTCAAAGGGAAGTTTTGGAAGAACAAGAGCAAGCTCAGAAGATTGCTTTAGCAGAACAGCACAAGGCTGAGATGATGCTTAAGGAGTTGGAAGAAAGACAGAGAATAGCCCTGAATGATCAGCAAAAAACATGGATGAAAGACTTTGATGATAAAAAAAAAGCTCATTTTACTTTCGGGGAATTTGCAAAGACTCAAATGTTGGAACAGGAGAATGCTCATAATAATACAGCAGATGAGCAGAAGGAAGCTCATAAAGCTAGCGAGCTGGAGAAAGCACAGAATCAAATATTGGAAAAAAACCAGTATAAATATGTAGCACAAGTTTCAGAGTCTGTTCTTAAAACAATGAATGAAGAAGGCACTGCCGTATGTGATGGTGAATTTGAAGAAGCACAAAAGAAAGACTTGATCATAGTTGGTGGTAAAAAGTTCTGTATGGAACCAGGAAAATTTTTTAGGGATTTAGACAAGAAGGAATACCAGCAATACCTTAGAAACAGAGGATATGACAAAAATTCTCGAAGACCACTCCCAAACTCTGTCTTGGACTTTTTCCCAAACTGACTAAATTTTAGAATTCTGATCTTGAATGAAAGTTAGAGAAAGGATGGATCAATCTTAAGGTCATCTGCAACCATTAATGGAAGTAAAAATGGGAAGGAAGAAATAAGAAGAGAATGTTTCTATTTTTAAAGGCTCTCTCCCATAAGCAGTATACTTTGATTAGGATTAAATTAATCCACATAGCGTTAGGTTAAGATTCTTATAACCATTCAAGGTTTGGAAATGCTTCAGGCAATTTATTCAGGGGGCAGAGTCAAAACTACAAGTTGGCTTTTTCTCCATTCAGATTTTTAGAACAGGAAAAGTTTAAATATTGACCAAGCAAATTCATTATATTTCCCCACCAGTATTCTTTTTAATCATATCATAAAATTAGAACATTGATAAAATAAAATTACTGGTCTATAGATTTAGTATTCTCTAATTTGATTCAATTAAATTTTTAAACATGTCGCTACAAAAAATTCCATAAACATTGTTTATTCTAATAAGCTAAATGAAAGTAATTAGATTCAGATTTTTCCCTTGAAACCCCCTTAATCTGTATGAGATACGTAATCTATAAATGCTCAACTTTTTCATGTTTCAACAGTGAGAAGTTCTTTGATATATTTTTTCAAAAGAACCTTTAGCAGATTTTACCAAAAAGCTTTCTTTCATAACAGCATGTGTAGAATTGCCCACTAAGCCTTACTCTTTAAAAGTATATATGAAGAGTGGATGTATTTTCATTATCAAGACATTTCTTTTGAAATTAGAAAATAATCCACATGAAGCAGATTTAAGATTCTAGACAACAAATCTATTTTTTTCTATTGGGGAATGAGTTTAGCAGGATTTACTTCAATAGTAAATTCCAAGTTAATTTGCTTTCTTATTTTACTAGGCTAACGTGCCATTCCAAATATAAGCCAAATATTGAACCCACATACAAGTGTTGCTCCCATGCATTTCCTGTACAATACTATCCCTCCAAACACCAGAACAGCTTTCACACTTGCTCGCTGTAATATCATCCTGTCCACCTTGTTGGTTTTATAACACACCAAAAGACCTGCAGCTCCATCATAATATTCTTCCAAATGTTATTGAACTAAATGTTATTATAACTAAATCTTATAACTTTTTAATTATTATAAGAGAATAACTTTTTCTTATCAATGGCAGTATTTTGGATTATGGATTATATATTAACTAAAATACAGTATTTTTCCTGGACCTACATTCCAAACCTGGGCACTAGGTGGCATTATAGCTTGCATAAAACAAAATGAAAACAATACAGTAGTGCTCTCTTGAATCTAAGTTAGGTTTAACATTTTACAGAACCAACTTTCATGAACTGCATAGGTGTAAAATTTCTCATTGTTATTCAACAATAATGTTCAATTTCATATATTTTTAGTATGAAAACTGTAGTGAGAGTATGCACTTTGTGTGGCACATGCTATTAAAAGCTTGATTTTGCTTGACAGCAAGGTTGATATTCTTGTCCACACACACATCTATGTTACATGCACTGATAGCCCTATAATTTTTAGATTGCTGGGGACAGGAATGTTCTGTATCAATTAACTCACTGTCCCTGCTGTTTAGTTTAAATATTCCTCCAGAAAATCTGTGAATGTATTGCCCTTTCTTTGATGGATGCAAACCATCTCTTTTGTACATTTTGATGTTGTGCTCAGGCTGGTGGGTGCCTGAAACCATGTGGAGGGCTATCCAGACCTCTTATGAATCTACAGTATAGGTATGAAATATACTCTCAAAAACAAATATTATTGGTAGTAATTTATGCACCAAATAACAACCAGGAAGAATTTTATCAAAATCTACACAGAAAAATAATAGAACTAGAGTATCAAAATATTTGTCTAGGAGATTTTAATGTGATAGTGGATGGGACAATTGATTATAAAAGCAGTAAAACAGGAAAAACTGGAAGAAGAAGACTACCTAAGACTTTTTTGTAATATGATAGAAGAGATTTGGAGGGAAATTAATCCAGGAAAATTACAATATACATTTTATTCAAATAGCCAAAAATCCTGGTCTAGAATTGAGATGATTTGGATGACACCGGAACTGAATATGCAGGAAATTGAGATAGAATCAGATACATGGACAGATCATAACCCTTTAAAAGTGATATGGAGAGGAATACAAAAAAAACAAACAAGATGGACTTTGAATCAATCTATACTAAAAGAAAGAGAATTTATAGAATTAGTAACAAAAGAAATGGAGTTTTTCTTTAAAGAAAACAAAAAAGAAGATACAATATTACAGAATGTATGGGATACAGCTAAAGCATACTTTAGAGGCATAGCCATAACATTTGTGGCAAAGAAAAATAAACAGAAAAAACAGCAGTATGTACTACTAAAAGAAAAATTTGAAAAATTAGAATCAGAACTGCAAATGAATCCGCAAAAGAAGATTTTAAAAAGAGAAATGGACATAATAAAACATAAGTTAAATTTGTTGGACTCATAAAAATTGGCACAGCAAATAAAAAGAGCAAAACATTTTTTTTTGAAAATGCAAATAAACCAGGCAGATGGTTAGCCAATAAACTTAAAAAACAGAAGGAGAAAAAAAGATAAATAAATTGGTAGATGAAAAAGGTGGTCTACAATTTAAAAATAAAGAAATAAAAAAGAAAATCAAAGAATATTGTAAGAAACTTTACAACATAGAAGAAATCCCAAGAGAGAGAATGATTCAATATTTGGAAGGAAATAATCTTCCAAAAATTCCAGAAACGTACAAGATTATGTTAGAGGAAAAAATAACAATGAAGGAAATAACAGAGGCCATAAGGAGACAAAAAAATGAAAAAAACACTGGGTGTAGATGGATTACCGGTGGAGTTGTATAAAATCTTACAAAATATATTAAGTGAACCATTGAAAGACATTTGTAATGAACTTTTGTTGGAGGCTAAACTTCCAAAAACATGGATAGAAGCAAATATTACTTTAATATCAAAAGAAGACTCAGATTTGATTCAGATAAAAAGCTATAGACCGATATCATTATTGAATGTGGACTATAAAATTTTCACCTCAATAATGGCTGAGAGACTGAAAAGATACTTAACTGAATTTATACATTCAGACCAGAATGGTTTCTTACCAAAGAGACAAATTAAAAATAATCTAAGAGTGATAATGGATATATTGGAATACTATGAATTACATCCAGGGAAACAAATGGCACTAATATTTCTAGACGCTCAAAAGGTATTTGATAATGTTTCCTGGCAATTTATGATTCAGCAATTACAAATAATGGACTTTGGACAGAATTTTATAAATATGATAAAAATGATATACAATAAACAAACAGCAAAAGTGATTGTGAATGGAGATTACACTGAGAACTTTGAGATAAGGAAAAGAATAAGGCAAAGATGTCCATTATCTCCATTGTTATTTATTTTTACTTTGGAAGTCTTAAATAAAAATATTAGACAAGATATAGAAATCAAAGGATTAGAAATAAAAGGTGAAACATAAATTGCAAGCATTTGCTGATGACTTGGTGTTTATCTTAGAAGAACCTTTGGAGATGATTTCTAAACTACTGGGAAAGATAGAACAGTATGGAGAAATGGCAGGACTGAAAATAAACAAAGAGAAAACTAAAGTAATAGTTAAAAATCTCACAGATAAACAAAAAAAAAACAAATATCATAAAAAACAGAATTACAGATAGTTAAAAAGGTTAAATATTTAGGAATACAGTTGACAGCAAGATGTTCAACGATAAAAGAAGACAATTATATAAAATTATTAAATCAAATGAAACAGGACTTGGAAAAATTGAAAAATTTGCAATTGTCAATATTAGGAAGAATTGCTACAGTGAAAATGAATTTATTACCGAAAATCTTATTTTTATTTCAAACAATACCTATAAAATTGGAGAATTTTTTTTTGAAGATTTGAATTCACTAATTTTGAAATTTATTTGGCAAGGAAAGAAAGCTAGAATTAAGATGAAAAATGTTACAAGGTGCTAAAGGAAACAGGGGATTTGGCCTACCAGAGTTGGTTCTATATTATCAAGCATCCGTATTAACATGGATAAAAGAAAGGATAATTCTTAAAAATAAAAGGTGGCACACTTTTTTATGGTATGGGAAAAATAAAGTTCATAAATATTTCTAAAATCACTATATAAGAAATACATTGTTAATAACATGGGAAAAAATAAAAAGCAAAATATATTTGAAAATTCCAGGGTGGAATCAACAATGGAAGCATTTGTACACTCAAACTTAGTGGACTTTGAAAAAATCTGGACATATAGAGATATTCTAAACTCTGAAGGACACTTAAAATCTAAACAAGAAATGGAAAATCAGGGCATCAACTTATCATGGTGGACACATTTACAAATACAAACTAGATATGATAAAGATGTTAAAATGTATGGGTTTTATAAAGAACAAACTGTATTTGATAAGATTTTGTTAACTTTGGATGAAAAATTAATTAAGAAAATGTATAATTTTTTATTAACTTTGAAAATGGAAGATGAACCAGTTAAAGAAACAATGATAAAATGGGTGAAAATTTTTGGATATAATATAGAATTAGAAAGATGGCAAAACTTATAAGTTGACAATGTCAACTTCCTATAAAGAAAACTTATATAAAATGTTTTATAGATGGCACTTGCCACCAGCAAGATTAGCGAAAATGTTTTAAAATATGTCAGATAGATGTTGGAAATGTAAACATAAGTCAGGCACATATTATCATATTTGGTGGACATGTGATAAAGCAAATAATTATTGGAAAAAGATACATACAGTACTTGGTTAGAAAAGGTGTTAGGAGAACATGTTGATTTTAAACCTGAAAAGACTAATAAACAAAGCTTATATTTGACTTTGCATGTTATAACAGCGGCAAGAATCATATTTGCGCAATATTGGAAAAAAGGAGTACCATCAGATGAAGAAATAATTTAAAAAATACTAGAATGCG